TTCTAGTTGCTGTATGTGGGACTCGGCCTCAGGATGGACGGAGAAGTGGTGCCTCGATGCGCACCCGGGATCCGAACCCGGGCCACCAGCATTGCAGCGCGCGCACTTAACCACCAAGCCACAGGGCCGGCCCCTTTCCATTCTTCTGATCGTGCATTTCTGTGTTCTTCTGCTTACTCCCTACTGTATCTCCAGTGCCTAATACAAAGCCTGGCACACAGTAAGGGCTCACAAAGTATTTGTTGAATGAATGGATGAAATTCTTCCTTCTCTATTACTCTGGCAGACTTTGATAAGGTGTATCAGAAAGAGCAAGTCCGAAGCCCCAGCTTTTCTATTTATTAGATGTAGGATCCATGGGCTCATCCTCTCTGAAGCCTCAGCTTCCTTAGCTATAAACTGGGGATACAAATATCTGTAGCTACCTCACCAGGCTGCTGTGGGGATCAAATCGAACAAAATATTACACGAGAACCCACTGAAAAGAATAAAATATCTTTATGCCAGGCATTATTATTCTGATATAGCAGATCTGTATCAATAAGAGTGAATCAGTGAAAGAGGAGATAATGTGATCCTAAGCAATAAATGTTGACTTGAAAACTGTCCAAGAATAGGCTAAGATATATGGAGGCATGTGAAAATCTATGGGATTTTGTGTTATTTTACTGCAATTTCTGGTTCTTTTCCTATCACAGAATGGATGTATTCCTGAAAATAAGTCTCTCCAATTGGTATACCTACATCCTTTAAGTAGCCTGAAAATTCTTCTGCTGCCCTGCAGGCTGCTCTGAAAACGAAAGGCTTTGCCATATTAAATAGGTGATTCTATGCACTCTCCTCGACTATATGGTGCTTCCCAATCTAAAAATGCACACAGCAGGAGGGCTTAAGCCCAATAACCAGAGCTAGGAGGAAGAGATGGGGTGACTGAAGTAGGCAGAGAACCACTTACTTGGCTGGAGGCAGAGACAACACCTTGTGCATAGTGGAAGTCATTCGGTCTCTGCCCAGACTGAAGGCATCCTTAGTCAGGGACACAGCTTCCTTGGTGAGGTCCATGGTGGCATGTAGAGCTTCTTTGGTGGCATCCTTGGTCATATGAATAGCACTTGACAATTCTCCCTCAATGTTCTTCAATGGGATGAGCTTGCCCTGTCCATTCACAGCAGTATCCGTGCCACCTGGGGGCCTCAATGCAGCTGGTGAGCTGGATGCTTGGGCTCTGCTTAGTCTCTTGGCCTGTAAGGAATCAACTGCTTCATGGCCCTTCCCCACCTCCCGCTGTGCAAGAGAATCTGAGTCCTGCACTTCTCCGTTGCTATGGAGAAGCAGTGGCCTATCCTGGGATGCATCCAGATTTTCAAGGCCACTATCCTCCAGAACCTTCTCAGGGCTTGCTGGGGCCTGCTCTGAGGAGGCATCAGACTTCAGCTCCCTATCCTCTGAAGGAGATAGCTCTGAATCTATGAGGCTGGTGGTATCTGAACCTGCAGAGTCAGCTCCAACAGCCCCAGGGGCAGGATGCATGAGCAGAGCCACCTCAGCACCGGGGAAGAGGACTCCAATGCAAGCTGTCTGGTCCTGCAGAGCAGACCCAGTCATGGCCTCTGTATCCTTAGTCAGCTGCTCCTGAAGACCCTGTAGCTCCTCCTTCAGGCGGAGTAGAGCCAAGTACTGGTAGTGGTCAAGTCTCACACGGATATGTGCAGCGGAGTGTACAAGCATGTGAACATCTGCTGTATCCTCCGGCTCTGTCAGAGGCCCTTTGTTGTCCACACCACTGCTGCCTTCTCTTGGAGTTTCTGTGACTTCCGTAGGACCGGATAGGCTTTTCAAATCATGCTCAGTCTTTGACCTCTGATGGGACACAGTGTCAGGGGCAAGGGCCTCAGACTGGACAGGACTGCCAAAGCTAGCTGATGGTTTCAGCCTCCCTTCTTTGGCCAAAAGGAGTTTCCGTGCCTGGGCTTGCTGCCAGCGGAGGGGTAGGCAGGCCCAAATGGACAAGGGGAAGGGGGCCACAAAATTCAAGGTATGGCCTTTGAAGTTCTCTGTTCCCTCAAAGTCCAAGGAGATCTGGGTGAAGTGGATGGACCAGAGATCCTGAGAAGCCTTAAGCCTCTGGGGAGGGAGGGTACTCGGTTGAAGGAAGCAGGGATCAATCTGGAAGGCATGATGCATAAAAAGCATGTGCAGAAGGCTAAAGCCACCTGGAACCTTGGGAAAGTGAACATAATTGGAATGAAAGAACTCAGCAGCCGCAAAACCCCGGAAGAGACTTTGGAGGTCTGGACAGCTACAATGTGGGGCATAACGTGTATTGGTGGCAGTCAGGCCTGACGCAGAGAAGACAAGGGCCTGGGGTCGGTGCAACCCAGCCTTCTCTCTCTTCTCCAGTGGGAAGCTCACCTTCAGAAAGAAAACGAAACCCAATTCAGAAAGGCCATCCAAGTATTTCCACAACCCACCATTAATACACACGTGAAGGACCATTTGGGCTGTGAAACTGTTTTTCTTACTTCTATCAAATGGATAGGGCAGAACCCTGCATTCTAGCCATGGGAGAAATGCAGCTGTGGCTGCCAACAGGGAGCAAAATCCCCACTCTCTCCCTACCTTCAACCAGAAGGCATCCAGTCGAATGTCCAAGTGTTCATCTTTCTGGCTTGAATCTTCCAGCTTGTAGATAGCTTTGAACTGCTCCAAGCTGCGGTATAAATCCAGGCAGAAGAGGTTTCCCCAGAGCAAGCTGACAGGATCCATAGTAAATATCAGACCATTTAACTGAATGTAGAGATTGGGACAGGGAACTGGAAAGCAGAGAAAAAAAGAATCGTCATGTACAAAGTAGCAGCTCAACTCTCACTTACCAGCTAAAATTCATTTTATTATGAAGAAAGCAAAGGTACATATTTATACAGGGGAGCATTTTTAACAAAGGTGTGCTGAACTAACTCCTAACAACGAGAGTATAAGCAACGGCCACAAACCTGACAAATGTAAAGAGCATGAGCTAGACAGCAAGAACTCACCAGACCCGATGCTTACCTGGAAGCTCCTGATTATCTGGGAAGTAATACTCTGTGAACTCAATGTGAATGGCAGAGACCTGCGTGGGTAGGTTGTGAAGTTTCCGACTGCAGGAAAGGAGTGTGGATGGCTTCTTACTCGGCTGTCCAGCTGTAGAAACCTACGCAATCCCAAGTTGCTGTTAGCATCTGTACGGCACCCAGAACAGAATTTCTTCAATTTCCTCTAAGGTAGTATAAAGCCTCTACTATCCTTCCAAAGTCTGTCACAGGAGCGGAGTACCATTCACACGTACTCCAGGCATTCTCACACCTGACTAACACTATTGACAAGTGCGTTTTTTCAGTGCAACGTCTGTAGTAGGGTATTCAGAGGAATCCCATCCTGATCTCAGCAGCCACGCTCAGAAAGAAACAGACAAAGTGTCAATCTACCCAGAAGTGAGGGGAAGAGTCCCCGAATTCCACAGCCTTATTCACACTTGTTGCCTCCCAAATGAACTGCTTCACCCTTTCCAACCATGTTCCCCTGTGTCCTGGGTTCCTCACCTGGTGGATGTCCAAATCATCCACCCGTATTACCATGCAGCTAGAGCGTAAACGATTCCATGCTGGAGGCCGAAAGGCAGCCTGCTGGCCCTGAGAGGGGCTTCTCTCAAGGGGGTTCTTTCGAGGACTGGAGAAAGAATCTAAACAAAAATAAGAAGGTGGAAAAGAGAATCAGATACATTCAACTCGTATTATTAATAGAATTAAGAAGTAAAATTCCTAAGATCATTAATGCTATACGTAGGAAAGAGAGCTTAACACTGTCTAGCTTCTGGATGGAACTCAAAAATTGTATTCTCCTTAAGACTAAGGCAACAGCCTACTGAATAGAAGTTGTAACAACCCCTCTTCAACATTGCAGCTGTCCCTGGAAACAAACAGGCCTCTAAAGAAAAAAGTCACTGGGCCGGCCCCGTGGCTTAGCGGTTAAGTGCGCGTGCTCTGCTACTGGCGGCCCGGGTTCAGATCCTGGGCACGCACTGACGCATTGCTTCTCCGGCCATGCTGAGGCCACATCCCACATACAGCAACTAGAAGGATGTGCAACTGTGACATACAACTATCTACTGGGGCTTTGGGGAGAAAAAGGAGGAGGATTGGCAATAGATGTTAGGTCAGAGCCGTTCTTCCTCAGCAAAAAAAGGAGGATTAGCATGGATGTTAGCTCAGGGCTGATCTTCCTCACAAAAAAAAAAAAAATGAAAAGAAAAAAGTCACTGATGTCTCTGGGATAAACAGCAAGGAATAGGTTAGGATAATTAGCTAGTGCACTAGCTATCTCCACTGGATATTCAAAGGTAAATGGCAAGAGGCTAAACAACGGGAGTCTTCCAGCTCCTCATAACCCACCTGCTTTCCTCCGGAAGGGAGAGTCTACTCCCAGGTGCCAGGGTGATTTTAGATCCGTCTTCTCATGCCACTTCTCCATTTTACTCTGAAATTCCGTCACCAGTTTCTGGGCCCACTGGCCTCGGGTCTCCATGGCCTCACAGTGCCGTACCCAGTGTTTGCAGCTATCGCCTGTGCAAGAAAACAAAAAGATTTTAGTCCAAGATCATGATCCAACGTTCCAATTTTTCCTTTCCAGTCGTATAGTCATAGTTCAGAATCTGATCCCTCACCCCCAATCCAGAATTCTCTAGAATAAGTAAAAATTGTCTAGTGAGAGCACTCAAGTTCTTCTGGATTCCATACGTGATTTTTCCCTAAGGCTCCCTAAAGGCCAGCTGCTGACTGCTGCCATCTTTGATTACAGACTACTGGAGAGGCTCTAAAACTAGTGAAAGTAAGGGGCAGAGCACTGAATCAAAAGCAACATCTCAAGCACTGCCTCCCCTCCAACTTCTCATCACTGATAAAGAATCATCAGTAGTGGAGCCTGCAAGTTTCCAGATGATGTCCTCTCCCAACACCTCTCTGAGCATGTGTTGCAATCCCTGGGACTCTCCTGCTGGGCAGTCAGGGATGAACCCAGGAATCTGCCCTCTGTACCTGGGCCACACTAGTACTACCCCCATTCAGAATTCTCCTACCTGCCCAGTGGAAGGGGTAATAGTCAAATGCCATCTTGCGGAAGGTAAGCTGCATTGCACCACCCATGAGTCTGTTTGCAGAGACACCTATAAAAGAAAAATAAAAGTGAACAGCAGCAGAAGAAACAAAGAAAGCTAAAAACCACTTGAAGCACTTCAAAGTCCTCTTGAGGGTCAGCTCTAAAGCCTGGCTGATACACAAGTGCCGCTGAAAGGCCATGATGTCAGGTGATTTGCAAGGCTGAGGCCCTCCTCCTTTTTTTTTTTTTTTTTTTGGTGAGGAAGATTAGCCCTGAGCTAATATCTGTTGCCAATCCTCCTCTCTTTTCCTGACATCCATGCCCATCTTCCCCTACTTTATATGTGGGACGCCTGCCACAGCGTGGCTTGATAAGTAGTGCATAGGTCCACGCCGAGGATCCAAACTGGCGCGCCCCGGGCCACCAAAGCAGAGCATGAGAACTTAACCACTACACTACCAGGCCGGCTCCTGAGGCCCTCCTCTTTTGAGTTGCAACAGTTAACCTGCTCTAAAAGATCAAAGAAAAGTATACTCTATTGTCTCTGTAAACAGCTGCTAGATTTCCAGAAAGGCAAAAGAAACGGCAAAACTCAGGATCCAGGAATTCCAATTCTAGGTACCCTCCAGACACACTATACAACCTTAATTGATTGGTTCCCCCAAACCTAAAAATACTAGTATTGCTGTCCCTCAGCACAACACCTGGAAACACATAAGCCTAATTCCCCCAAAAACAAGACCCATATTCTTTCCTTTCATATCCTGGCCTCAGAGCTAAAGCTGTGATATTAGACAATCATGACATACTGTACCTACAAAGTACCACGGAACACTAAAAACACTGCACTAACAAGGACATTATAAAACAAACATAAAGAATATTCTAAGTAAATTGGAATTTTTAGCAATAAGTCAAATATTGCATTATGTTTATCTTGAATTTACATTTAATTCTTACTAAATAAATTAACTTTCTATGTTTCTATTTTACCTCTCCAATTATACTCTAGGAATTATCGGGTAGGGACTATTTCTTCTCTATACATGTATTGTCTGACCTGTCCTGCTCTGTACTTCTATCCCAGCCCTTACTAGAGTGAAGGGAAATCCCACAGGATCCTATAGGTGTAAGCTACTACACCTACAACCAGGAGGCTCATTTTCATCCAATCTAGATTTCACCACCCCAAGTTCTAGACTACTCACCATCCCCCTAAGAGATACACCTACACCAGTGTTCCTGTTTCTCAGTCTTTTTTTCATAATTACCACCTCTAAGGAGCCTGTTTAGACATTTTTTTCCTAAATGCGCCCTCTCCACAAAACGTTAATACCACAGATATACTGTATATCTGCTTATGTACTACATGTCTATCTGTGTTTTATATATAAAAAGAATAAGTAAGGGTAAGAAAGATGAAATAATTCTTTTAAAAGTTAAAAAATTTAAAGCTATTAATATTTAACTTTATATTTACTGAGTAACTTTTAATGTAATTTATTTCTTATATAAATTATAATGTATCAAATTACATATGCAAATTAGCAATTTATAGAAATCCATAGCAATATAATCAAATTTTTAATTACTCAAAATTATTTTTCAGCATAAGTAAAACAACTGAAATTTTTAAATTTCTTAAAATTATTTTTAGTGAACTTAGCTTTTAACTTTTGCTTGATATGAGAAAGCAACTTTTAGCTTAACTAGCTGCTAGATATTCATTCAGATAGTGTCAATATTTTTTCTGTTCAGCACTGAACTAAATTAATAATTTGTTGAATAACCTGTAGAATTAGATAATAAAATATAAACTATTTTTATTTAATTCTATAAGTTCAAAACACAAAATCACTGAGGATCAAATATAAACAACAATGACAAGGCAGACAATGGCAGCCAACAGGCATGACAGGCCACCTCACACCATACGACTTTGAGACCAAGCAATTGAATGAGAGAAAGTCCTCTGACACAGCCATCTATTCGCCACGGTTTATAGCAGTGATCTTCCATACATTTTGTGTATCTTCCATGAACTCAACATCAATGTTGCACATGTGATATCCAAGAAAACCCAACGAGAAAAATTAAACACTAATGAATAAAATTTTGTCAGGTAGGGTTAAGCTTTGTAAGGTCGCAAACCATTGTTAACATGTAAGATTTTTTTCACCCCCACCTCTCACCAAAGAACCAATTTTCAATGTCCAGAATAGGCAAATATCAAGAGAAAAAGTAGATCAGTGGTTGGTTATGGCTGCAAAATGGGAAGTGACAGCTAATTGGTAAGGGTTTCTTTTAGGGAGGACAAAAATGTTCTAAAATTAGATTGCAGTGATCACACAACTCTATGCATATACTAAAAAACACTGAGTTGTAAATTCTAAATGGGTGAATTGTATGGTATGTGAATTATACCTCAATGAAGCTGTTTAAAAGAAAAGAGCCAATTTTCACCTGCTGTGGGGTGATATCATTCCAATTGAACATGCATGACCTAGGGTACTAGAGGGAGAGTTTCACAGCCATGCTCCCTCCATTGGAGTTATTTGGAGCTAAAAGAACAATAAACTACACAGACTGAGCATATTAAAATAGGATCTAGAACTGAAATCAAATATAATTACTAACTGCCAACATATTTAGTTATAAACACATAATCATATATGAGACATAAATGGTAAACAGTGTACATAAATGACTAATTAAAGTTCTCCAATAAGCTGGTGGGAAGAGGACAGCTAGCTTTAAGAGACATAAAGTTTTTGGTTCACAGGCCTTATCCTGAGGGAAAACAGCTAAAAAGAGGCAGGTGACACTCTTTTCCCCATCAACCTCCTCTCTGAAGCCTGACATGTGAGCTGCTCCAGGTTGATTTCCAGAGACTGTGCTGCCCTACCTCAAGCCAAGCTGTCCCCAACGACCCACCCAGTTTCCAATAATTTCACCTCCAACACCAAAGGATAGGAGAGAGTGTTAGCCAGGGCCCCAACATCCAGGCTATAGCATCCCTTAATGAAAAAGCAGGTAGAGGTAGCCTTCAAGCAGTCTCTTCAAGGAGTAGCACTGTCCAAAAGAACTTGGTGATGATGGACATCTTCTAGTCTATAGATTATACTGAGTACTTGGAATGTGGCTGGTGCAAATGAGGATCTGAATTTTTTATTTTATTTTAATTTTAATAGCCACATGTGGCTATTGGATACCAAGTTGAACAGAGTTCTAGAGCAATGCCATCCAATAGAAATACAACGTGAGCCACATAGTAATTTTAAATTTTCTAGTAGCCACATGAAAAAAAGTTTTTTAAAAAAGTGAAATTAATTTTAATACATATTATTTAAACCAATATATCCAAAATATTATCATTTCAACATGTAATCAATATGAAAATAATTACCAAGTTACTCTATACTCTTTTTTTGTACTATATCTTCAAAATCCCACGTGTATGTTACACTTGCAGCCCAACTCAATTTGGATCAGCCAACATTATAAGTGCCCAATAGTCATATGTGGCTAGTGGCTGCCATATTGGACAGAATAACTCCAGAAAATCTTGTTTTTTTTTTGGTGAGGAAGACTAGCCCTGAGCTAACATCCGATGCCAGTCCTCCTCTTTTTGCTGAGGAAGGTTGGCCCTGGGCTAACATCCGTGCCCATCTTCCGTTACTTTATATGGGACGCTGCCACAGCATGGCTTGACAAGCGGTGCGTCAGTGCGCGCCCGGGATCTGAACCTGCGAACCCCAGGCCACCAAAGTGGAGCGCATGCACTTAACCGCTGCGCCACCAGGCCAGCCCCCAGAAAATGTTTGAGCCCTTTCTGTACCACTTAGTTCTCCCTTCTCCCTTTCTCCCCAAATCCAAGGAGAAGAGTCAAAGTCACAAGAACTCTTTCTGTTCCTTGCCTCTTCACAGAGTCATATACTACACCTAGATATGGTAGGCTGGGAGGTATCCCTCTATCTAAAAATATCTCATCCAAAACATCCTTAAATTCCACCAAGTTTGATTAATTTAGTTTGAGAAATAAATGGGGGCTGCAGAGACGGCTAGTCATTCACATCTTAGCATGGATTACAGGACCCTGCCACAGGAAGAGGACAGTGCTATATACCCCTTATCAAGCAAGAAGATGAAACTCTCAATTATGTAGTCTTAATAAAGACTTCTGAAAGGATTAAAACAAAACAAAACAAAAACCCCAAAGCCTTTATAGTAACACTTGGAAGAAATAACCAAAGAAAATAATAGTTTTAGCAAAGAACTGCGAAAATGAGTGAGTGGCAAACCAGTGAGTAATTTATTTCTTGTGGTGGCAAAAGCAATCTTTACGCTCCTCTTGGGGTCTCTTGGAGTGGGAGCAGAGGAGGGCCAAAGTCACTTTAAGACCAAGGAATAGCAAAGCAAGACATGCAATGCTGCTCCGTGCCCCAAGAATAAAAGGGAGGTTCCCCCAAGGAAACTGAGTTGAGGTCTCATTAAGAGGCAAACATAACCTCCAGAGAGAATAAGGCAGAAAGAGAAAAATCTACCATGTGAGAGCATCTAAAACCTAGAGCTGGTAGCAAAGGAGCATATAGAAAGAACGTAGAGGGCTGGCCCCGTGGCTTAGCGGTTAAGTGCGTGCGCTCTGCTGCTGGCGGCCGGGGTTCGGATCCCGGGCGCGCACTGACGCACCACTTCTCTGGCCATGCTGAGGCCACGTCCCACAGACAGCAACTAGAAGGATGTGCAACTATGACATACAACTATCTACTGGGGCTTTGGGGGAAGAAAATAAATAAATAAAAACAAAAAAAAAAGAAAGAACATAGAGAACTGAAGGAATAGGCAGCAGAGTAATAATAATACCAAATATTTGCCTATAATTAAGGTCCTCCAAATTCAGTATATTATCTCATTTGAGCCTGACAACAACCTATGAGGTAAACGAGTAAGATAAGATTTAACTCAAGTTCACAAATGAAGAAAGTCAAAGAGGTTAAGCAAGAGGTTAAGTGACTTCCCCAAGGCTCGTGAAGGAAAAAAATGAGTCAATTACTTTTTCATTCTGAATAAACAAACATATGTGTGTATGTAATATCAATTGCTCTAAAGAACGTAAAAGCATGACAAGAACACAGCATGACCTCTCTGCTCGGGAAGAGAACATTTACACATAATAATTATTTAAATTGACTCAAAAATCTGAAAATGCCGAGATTCCCTACAGTTGAATTTACTTTTCTAAAAGCTTATACCAGTGGTCAGCACTGTCCAAAGAAGTTTAGGGAGAAAAAAAAGTATACACTGCTTGGGCTCTACTCCTGAAGATTCTGATTTAGCGGGGTCTGGGGAGAGCCCTGGCATCTGTATTTTATTATTACAGGGGGTTCTGCTGCACCCTAAAGCTGAACAGCGCTGCCTTACACTAAGAGAAAGAGAGCTGCCACAGCAGGGCTGAGACCCAAGGAGTAACTGTGACTAAGGGAAGCCAACCAAAGTACTCCACAGTGTCTTGAAAAGCTCCATCCCCAAGCTTTGCCCAGAGCTGAAGGCAGCGATGGACCACCCTGCCCAGGCTCAGGCCTCACAGGTACCTGACTCTCGGGACTGGCTATCATCGCAAATGTGCAGGTCCAGGCGGGAGATGAGCAGATGGTAGGAGGACTCTTTCACATCAAATTTCTCAAAGTACTGGCTGAGGCGGCTGCTGCTGCTGTTGCCGCTGCCCTGGCTGCCACCAAACGCCTGGGCCCAAGACTGCTGGGCACTGGGAGCAGGTGGGGTGATCTATAGGTGACAGAGATAAGAACAAGAAGTCCAGATCCAGAAAGGTTCGTTGCAGGCTTTCTTTAAGCTTCAGTTCAGCCTGAATAAAATCACAATTTAACAAGATGCCCCTTTCCTCTCATAACTGTTCCCCTGGTAGCTCACTTAGGTCTGTCCTACCTAAATAACCGAAACTCCAAAAACTCTAATCATAATTAGCCTAGTAACTGTCAGAGTACTGTTCTGAGGTTTGAATTGCTCTCCAAGCTCTCACCCCCCAGGACTTAGGTGACTGATGCTAAAACATCTCTTCCAGAAAGTCTTCCCTAAACGGCCTCCTTCAGCCCGAGTAGTTAGATGCCTCTTCTTTGTGCTCTCATGGCACAGTGTTTACCTCTCTTACAGCACTTATCACTTCATATTGTAATAACTTGTCTACAGTTCATATTTTAAGACAGTGAGGTTCCAAGGCCAGGAACAAGAGGCTTATTCTACTTTTCCTTTCCAGTGGCTGGTACTGTACACCTAACACACTGGAGGCATCCAATGAACAGAATAATGAATAAATCAGAGGCACAGGCAGAGCCTATGCACATCCAGAAGTAAACGACAAATCCCCCAAATAAGCCTATGAAAGTCTAGACTCCACCTATGTAGGTATGAATTACATCTGGCCTACCATCTCCCCAGCTCCACCAAAGGTATCTGTTCTGCCTCTAACCTGTACAGGTTCAGGGGCCAGGCTCTTTCTCTGCTGGGCTGACTTTTCCATGGCCTCACTCAGCGACTCTGCATACTTCATCATAGCCTTGAGCTGTGAGTCAGTTAGCACCCAGAGCAGGTCATCCAACAGGAACATCAGCTTGGAGGCTATGACATTGCAATCTTTGGTCTGAAAGGGCCACAGAGAACATGGGGTTCAATATCTGGTATCATTCCAACTCCTCAAAGTGATGATTGCCCAATCAATTTCAGACATGGCTTTTCAATCCCCAACATGTGAAATCCCCAGCACTTTGGAGAGTCAATTTCTTACAAAACTACTAAAGTTTTCTGTGATTAACAAGAAGCAGCGAAAGTCAACTGCCAGGTACCTATGTCAGTGTCCTGACATATGGGTAAAAATTGTGGTTTCTAAAAGTAAGATGACAGGGTGGTGGAAATGTTCTCTCACTGGTGGATACTGTGCAACACTAAATTGCAGGCCCTCTCCTTTCATCTGTCATTCCAGGGGCCAATAATATTCAAAAAAGAGGGAATACCAACTCCCAGGCTGTCTAGGAGAATAAAAGATGGAAGTTTTCACGAGGACAGAGAACACACTCACTCTTCTCTTGAGGGCTATTTGGATCCTGCCTTGGTTGGTAATAAGCCTCAGTGGAGTGGTGACCGGGTCCTGATCACCATTGTCTGTAGCATCTGCCTCAATTCGAAGTGTTTGCCAAGTTATTTCCTTAAATGTTAAAACCTAGAAAGAGAAAAGTAAAATCCCTTAATTCTATGGATGAAATTAATCAAGTGACAGGAAGGTCCAAGGGGAAAAGACTGGCAAGGCAGAGACTCCCACCATTCTCAGTTGGGATCCTACCGATAGAAGGCAGTGGATCAGAGGTCCACAATTGAGGAAAGGACATAGCAGTAACACTGGACAGAAGGGATTCTTGGCTTCCCAGGAATGAGGGAGCATTGGAAGAAATTGCCAAAGTAGAAATAATATCCTTTAAGAATTAGTCCTACTTTGTGAGGAAGATTGGCCCTAAGCTAACATCTGCCAATCCTCCTCTTTTTTTTTTTTTTTTTTCGGCTGAGGAAGCCTGGCCCTGGGCTAACATCCATGCCCATCTTCCTCCACTTTATATGGGACACCGCCACAGCGTGGCTTGCCAAGTGGTGCGCCGGTACGCGCTCGGGATCCAAAGCTGCGAACCCCAGGCCCCCGCAGCAGAACGCGCACACCCAACCGCTTGCGCCACCGGGCCGGCCCCAGAATTAGTCCTACTTTGAATCCCCCTATTCTCTCCTCTTGCAATCCTAGGGCTGTCACCTCTCCTCGGTGAGGGTCGGTGATGCGGGTGAAGCGGAGGTCACTCTGCTGCCAGTTGGGGTTGACACTATAGCCCTGGAGCTGCCACAATTCAAAAGAAGCGTGGAAGGCCTTGGAGTGAATCTTGATGGTGATAGAATTGACGATGATGAACATGCCCTCCACCACCTTCTCGGCAAAGCCATACTCACTACAACAAATGAAGGAGACCAGTGTTCAGAATCATGTGAGACTTCATGCACACTCTTTATACTGGAGGACATCAGATAAGACTACCAACAATGCCAGTCTTTGGGTGCTAGAACTGTGGATTTTTTTTTCTTTATTTCTCTCCTCCCATTTCTACTTTCTTGTATTTTTTAAATTTCTAAAATTTTTTATAATGATACAGTACTCTTCTTTTTTTTTTTT